TGTTAATTGATGAATTATAAACAAACTTGTCAAATAAAAAATAAAAAAAATATTATTATAAAGTTTTTTCGCCTTCTTTCTTCTTCCGAAGAGAACGTCTTCTCGGAAAAGCACTGCCTAGTAGGAGTTCTCCCTAGACCTGACTTAACTTATCCTCAAACCATCCCAGTAGACCTGCTAAGACGTTTTCATAAGCTATTTACATTCTCAAAGAAGTAGTAGTCCCCGAAACAGCCCCCTCCACATGAAGAAAGAGTAGCATAGCATTTTTGAAAGGGTTTTGTCTTAATTTTGAAAGTTTACAAATTTTTTTGAGCCCCTTAGTTTTTATAGCGTTCCAGAAATAAAAGAGTGTAATTTTTCCAACCCCAAAGTTGACTGAAATCCGGGTTATGCCAAAAATTTTTTTGTAAAAAAATTTAAAATATTTAACTATTGTTTTTGCATTTGTTTCCCGGAAACAAATTTTTTTCGCTACCAAAACAAAAAACTATATGCCATCAACAAAAAAGAAAAAAACTGCCACTAGCCTTAAAACTTCCGTCGGCCCTTAAGAAAAGTTATTATTTCCTTTTAATTTTGTGTTTCTGCTCCACATAAAAATTAATTTTGTTTAAGTTTTTTTCTTTCTTATAAACGAATTTTTATTAAATTCTTGTTTACGTTTACTCGTACGCTTACCATTCCGTTATTATACTAAACGCTCTATCACACTTTTCGAATGTTCATATTTTTGTAACTAAAAACGAGAAATAAACTTAACATAAATATGTATTTTAATTACTTAATTACCAACTTTAATGGGAAATTCCCATTTAAATGCTACTGTTTGCTGTTAAGAATTAAAAATTCGAAATAAAATATTTTCGGTGCAAAATTGCTGGAATGTATCTCGCTGCTGGCGTAAATGTTATACCCTGCACGCAATGCTGTTTAAACGCTGTTATACTTCGCTACTTAATAAATTTGTTTTTTTTTAAATTTTTTTTTTCTATTTTTCAGCGGTGCTTAAAAAATATTTGAGGGCGTGTTGGGCGCAGGGGCGCTCATTTTGGGATTTACTTTTATACAGTTTTTTTATTAAATTTTTTTGCTCCTTCTGTACCTACACGCATTATTTTCTGAGAGATTTTTTTTTACCTTTTTTTCTGAGATTTTTTCCGCGCGCAATTTATTCCTCNCAAACGCTGTTATACTTCGCTACTTAATAAATTTGTTTTTTTTTTAATTTTTTTTTTCTATTTTTCGGCGGTGCTTAAAAAATATTTGAGGGCGTGTTGGGCGCAGGGGCGCTCATTTTGGGATTTACTTTTATACAGTTTTTCTATTAAATTTTTTTGCTCCTTCTGTACCTACACGCATTATTTTCGGAGATTTTTTTTACCTTTTTTTCTGAGATTTTTTCCGCGCGCAATTTATTCCTCATAAAATTACTTGTCATGTTTGTTTTTTTGTTTTAGTTTTAAATTAATTTATTTATAATAATTATTTTTATGCACTTTACAACTAATGCTAAAACTTTATTTTTTTTTGTTTTAATTTTATTAATCATTTAATTACTTTACTTTAGTTTACTTGATTACTTTGTGTCTAATTTACAATGTGGATATATCCAACAGTCCAACGGATGCGTCGTGCGGATGGTTATGCTGATGCGTTATGGAGTGTGGGTGGTGGTGGTGGTGGTGATGATGAGGCGCCAAGTGGTGGTGATGCTGGTGATGGTGGTGCAGCAGCGCCAATGGACCGCCAAAGCCTATACCGTCGCTGCCGCTGCCACTGCCATTGCTGCTGTTGTTTACGTCCGCCAGGCCACCATTCTGACTGCCGCCGCCCAGCCGCCCCATGATGGCGGGCGACACTACCGCCGTTGCGGTGGCTGTTAGTGCGGAGGCGCAGCTGGCCGCCTGCAGGTAACCGCCGTTTGTGTGATGTTGCAGCGCTGGCGAGTGCGAGGGCAGCGGCATTGAGTGCGCCGAGCTGCGGCTGCCACCCGAGGAGCCTGAGGCCGTGGGGCTTGGCCGGCCGCCATTCAGCCCATTCACATAGCTGTGCAGCATGCTGACGCCGCCGTTGCTGTTGCTGCCATCAAGCGACTGCCCATGCAGAGAGCCGTTGCCGTTGTGCAAATTGCCGCCGCCGCCGCCATTTTCTGCTTGCTGCTGCGCGTGCAGATGGTGCGCCAGTGACAAACTTGAAGCGCTTACTGCTGATGAAAGCGGCGGCGGCTCCAGTTCCAATTGCTGTTGTTGCATGTGCTGGTGTTGTTGTTGTTGCTGTTGCTGTTGGTGGCGTTGATGCGCCAACTGTAGTTGCGTATGCATGTGCGATAAATGATGCGAGTGATGCATCAGCGTTGTGGGCGGCGGCGGCGGGGTGGGTGATGTGCTCGTGGCTGCTGGGGGCACCGCCAAACCATTCTCCATCTCAACCGACGCGGCCGCCGACATCTCCGTAACGGACGGCGTACCAGCGGCTGCGGCAACTGTGGCAATGGCATTGGCGGCGGAGGCATTGGTGGATGATGCGGCTGGGGCGATTGCGAGCGCTGACTGACCATAGGCACTGGCCATTTCTCACATGTGAGCGAGTGGCGCCATCGCGCGCATCGATTGCTGATGTTGCGCGTGTTGTTGCTGCAAATCTGGCGAGCTATTCTGGTAGTGCATCAGATTGCGCTGATGCTCCGCAGCGGCGGCTGCAGCAGCTGCTGATGCCTGCATGCCATCCGGTAAATGATACATATTCATCAGGTGATTCAGATCAGACGTTTGCTGCGTCGCGCCATATTCGCGCTTCATTATGTGATTGTTGTTGTTGTTGGCGGCGAGTACGGCAGCTGAGTTTTGTTGCGCTTGACTGTGCATCGGACTGGGTGACACGGGTTCGGATTTAATGCTGGAATCGCTGGGGCTGTGGCTTTGGCAGGACACTTGTGAGCCAGGCTGACCGCCGCCGCCGCCGCCGCCACCACCGAGGCCATACGGCGAGCCGGGCTGTTGCTGGACATTGCTGTAGGGTGAGCCGGGTTGCTGAATGCTGGCATACGGTGAGGTCTGACCGCCCGAAACGGTGCCATACATGCTGTAGCCGCTACTCGCCGCCGGGCTCATGTAGTTTAGTGAACCGGCCGCAGCGGCCGCCTGGTGCATTTGACCCATATCGTAGCGATGGTAGTTGCCCATGTAGGCGCTATGTTGGCTTTGATACGCCGCAGCGGAGGGGTCGTGCATCATGTAGCCGTTGGGCATGTAACCATTTGGCGCGCTCATCTGATACATATCACGATTGACGGCGGCCGCTTGCTGAGCGGCCGAAATCGACGAGGCGCTTGAGTTGCGCCCGACGTTGGGCGCATTCGATTCGGTGGGCTGCAACAGTGAACCAACGCCCAGCGGATACTTCTCCTTCGACTTGGTTAGGGTCTTTGTCTTGCGACGCGGGCGATACTTGTAGTCGGGATGCTCCTTCATGTGCACGGCGCGCAAGCGTTTCGCCTCGTCGATGAAAGGGCGCTTTTCCGCCTCCGACAAATCCTTCCATTGCGCGCCTAAGCGCTTTGAAATCTCTGAGTTATGCATTTTCGGATTATCCGAAGCCATTTTGCGGCGTTGACCGCGCGACCACACCATGAAAGCGTTCATGGGACGTTTCACGCGCTCCGCATTTAGTTGATTTTTATTGGCGGTCGCTGAGTTGTTGTTATTCACATTGTGACTGCCACCCATTGGCGCACCGCCAGCGCCTTGACTGCCAATAGGCGTGCCGCCACCCATGCCGCTGTGATGATGACCACCGCTACCGGCGCCGCTGTGTTGATGTGTTTGCTGGCCGCCACCGCCACCCGGCGAGGTCATATGATGGCTGCCAATGCTCGATTGTGTGGGACTCAAGTCGCTGTGTGAGCTGTGTAGCGGTGAGCCGCCATGCTGTTGCTGCTGCTGCTGTTGTTGCTGTTGTTGTTGATGCTGCTGTAAGCTTCCGCCATTGCCATTCAACGTATTTGCCATGCTAGACTGGAGTGAGCTAAGCGGATTGCTAGATAGGCTGCCCCCATTGCCGACAAGTGCGCTTTGCTGACCGCCGCCGCCGCCACCGCCACTACTGGCCAAGTGCGAGGCCATGTGATGATGATGATGCTGCGTTAGATGTGACTGCGCCAAGTGCGACTGGCCGAGATTCATGAGCGGTCCGAGGGCGCTATAGGGCGAAGCGGCATGGCCGTGTAGAGCGGCGGAAGCGTGATGCGGCGGCATGGTTGCATGCAGGATGCCGCCTTTCATATCCGACTCCATGGTCAGCATGTCTGCGTGGTGCTGCTGCAGCTGGTGGTGGTGCGGATGTGGCGGTATGGCGAACACGGTTGCTGGAGTTTAAAAGGGGAGCGTGGAAGGGAAGGCGCGAGCGCGCGTCAGAAAGTTGTA